TTCGATGACAGAGACACAGCAACAAGTTGAGATTAATTAGAAGGGCACATACAAATTGCCTGTGGAAAGTGGAAGAGAGTGTTATGCCCTTGTTCTGAGAGACGAATTTTAGAGCTCGCCATGGAAAGGAACAAAAGGAGCAGAAGAGAAGAGAACGTGTTTGACTTTATAGTGCAGGGATGATATTACTACCGTTATCCATCATTTTTGCTAAAATTACATCTCTGCCCATAGAACTTACTGCCAGTTTATTTATTCTCACCTGAGTTTCATCACGTTAAGGAAAAATGGACTTTTGGCCATGGATTTCTTCCCCTTTTTTTTTTTTTTTTTTTTATGGAGATAAGATTGTTTATAGAGTAAATTATAAATTAATGTCCATACTTGCGAGAAACGAATTTAATAATTTAATTTGTTTTAAAAACTAATTATTTAATGTTCTTTAAAACTTTTTGTATCTTAATTTTTTTTGTATTTTTAATTTATTTTGATTTTTTTAGGAAATATAAAAAAAATATGGAAATATTGACCGAAAAAAAAAGACAGATTTTGAAATAAATTATAAATTGAAATTAAGATTTGAGTGGAGATAACTCTAATCTTGAGTAATAATTTAATTTGTTTTAAAAACTAATTATTTAATGTTCTTTAAAACTTTTTGTATCTTTTTTTTTTGTATTTTTAATTTATTTTAATTTTTTTAGGAAATATAAAAAAAATATGGAAATATTGACGGAAAAAAAATGACAGATTTTGAAATAAATTATAAATTGAAATTAAGATTTGAGTGGAGATAATTCTAATCTTGAGTAAATTATAAATTAGTCTCTATTGTTTCAAGAAATGAATTAATTAGTCCCTGTTGGTTCAAAAAGTAATATTTAATCTTTATATTTTGAAATCTATTTGTTATTTAGTAATTTTTTCTAATTTTTAATTTATTTTATTTTTAAGAAAAGATATTAAAAAATATAAAAATATTGATGAGAAAATAAAAATAATATTAAATTAAGCATGATCAATACTATTTAAAAGATTAAATAATTATTTTTAAAATAAAAAGTACTAATTAATTAATTTATTGAAACTAGAGAGACTAATGTATAATTTACTCCACAAATCTTGTACCACCGGTTCTGTACAATAAGCAGGTGAGTTTGACAAGTTAACAGGTGATGATCGTGATACCATTGGACAAGTCCTCTTGTTGGGATACCTAATCTTGGCTCCTAATTCACTGGCTTTGTTTTCCTAAGCTCCTCTTGAAGAGCAAATGACAAATTTTTAATTTATTAATACGAGTTCAATTTTTTTTTTAATTTATGCTCTTCTAAATTCTAAATGGAAAGAATGCTTGATCATGAAAAATAATATTTTTATTTTGATTAGAAATTAATGAAGAAATTTAAATCAAATGTGTTCAATAAATAATGCAAAACATTTTCTTTTCTTTTCTTTTCTTTTCTTTTCTTTTGGGAAAATATAGATAGAAGAAGTTTGAAACTAAAAATTATAAAATTTTATTTGTTAAAAAAAAAAAAAAATCACTCTCTCCATCTCAATGTATTTGTCCATTTTTTTATTTTTAGTTTTCCCGAAATATTTGTCTAGACACATTATGAAGTATTTTGTTTTTCCAATATATCTTTTATTAAAATCACACACACACACACACACACACACACACACACACACACACACACACACACACACACACACATATATATATATATATATATATATATATATATATATATATACTATCTTTGTGAAAAGTCAAAAACAACAAAAACAAACATAGTAGTGAAAGTTTGGAGCAATTTGGAATGATGTAGCACTTTATTTATTAAGTTTTTTTTTAATTTTGTGAAAAGCTAAACAAATTAGGACGGAGTGAGTAAATTTTAATTAAAGCAGAACATTTTCTCAAATTTGGAGAATCTTTTACTTTAATTCAAAATTTAATTCTAATTGATTAAATATAATTGCTATTTTTCTTTGAAATAAAAATCAAACATAATTTGAATCATTGAAAAATTAGCCCGAACATAAGATAACCAAAGACAAGATAGGAGTCAACCTTTTTTTTTTTTTTTGGATGAATTCGTGACATCAAGGAATTTGGCGTTTGGAATTTAGAGCACACGTAAATTACTCTTCTCTCTTAGTCTAATCAAAATTCTTGCTTGCCTTTTATTTTATTTTATTTTTTTCAACTTTAATTATTCTTTTTTCTTAACAAAGCTAGCGTAACATCCCAAGGTAAGATTAAAATAGGTCAAAAGCATTATCGATAATGTTTTATATTTTTAACGTAATAAGCTTGAGATATTAAGTCTCGTGTTATTATGTGTCTAGATAATTATTATTCATTGTGAAAACTTATTCAATTTTTAATTAATTAGGTCTATTCTTTACTTAAAACTAGGAATATAATTTTTTTTCAAATTAAATTCATTTAGTAAACACTAGCTCAATATCCGCACATTGCTGCGGATAAGTTTATCATATCCATGTTTTAATAGTTTAAATAATTTCAAAATATAAATGTAAAATAAAAATTAATTAACACTCATTGTAAAAAAAATTGTTTAATTTAATATATATATAATTGAATTTAAATATTTCTTAGGAATATTTTTTTATTTTGATAGATAAAAAATATATGCAATTAATTATTTATTTTAAAAAATCCAACTAGAAGGAGGTGTTTAATCAATTTATATTAGAAGAATATTTAATTTTAGTTCATGAATATTTCTAAAAATAGAAAAAGTAACCATTGATGATGGGAAAAAATTTCTTTTGATTAAAAAATAATTAATGAAAAAAGCCCAGCCCGAAAAAAAATATGATAAGGACCTTTTGATAATATTAATTAAAATTAAGAACCATTTTATATAAAATAATAACTTCGAGGACCAAAGTGTAAAATCTTGATAAATTGACAAAAAATCACTTTTTTTTTTTTTTTTTCTGAAAACGACGGTCGTTTTGGTTTCAGTATAGCAAGGCTTAACTACAATGAAACCTTATTTGCTTTTAGTATATGTTATAATATTCATCAGAACATAACGATTTCTTTAAATTTTCTTTGTTAAATTATGTAAATGTTCTTAGCCAAAAATATGACTAAGAATTCATACTTGTAAAATTTAATTTAAATATTTTAAAATAATATTTTAGAACAAAATTAAGCAATTGGCCTCTTTAATTTTCTTCAAATAACTTTTATTCAAATTGAATAATTAATTTAGTCAACAATGTGAATTTTTACAGTTCAAATTGATTTTGAAAATCATTTTCAAATGTATTGAAATTGCATTATGAAATGAAACATTAGTAGAGTTTTGAAGTTATTTTTTGATAGGGCCATAGAAAGTACTGGCAGCCTTTTTCTTCTTTTTTAATGAATTCGTAGCACTGTATAAAAAATCAGCCTAGTTTTTTAGCAAATAAAAAAAAAGAAGAAGAAGAAGGATTAAGATTTTTCATGTGGAAATGCATGCATATGTATTTTTAAAACTAATTTGTACTTTAAATGAAATGCATGCAATAATTTCTTCTAGAGAATCTCAAATCAGTTTTGAACTACAAATGCTTTTCAATTCTGGTAACTCTTCCAATCTCAAAAACCTTAACTTTGGGAGACTGAATTCTTCACCCATTACCCCTCCTTCATCTCTTCTTGCTATTATATTCTCCATTTCCTCACCATATTTAACATCATTCTCTTCCAAATTTACAAGGTTTGGCAACAAGACAAATGGGAACAGCTTCTTCATACTCATACGCCCAAAATAATAAAACTGTTTAAGGCTATAAAATATACCATTAGAGATGGAGATGGTGGTGGAGCAGAGCAGAACCAAGAAGATAAAACCAACCAAGCTCTCCATGCTATCGCAATCCTCAACGTAGATGTTTGCCAATTCAGTTGCATATTTTAATGAGGAAACATAGCAGGAACTTCTTGCGTCATTACATCTACAAATCATCAATCCTTGAATGTCATTTGGAAACATGTCCTAAAAATCTTCATCAATGTTGATACTAAAGTTGCCCAACCCAACACTTTTATTTCTGCACAACTTATACCCATCATTCTTCTATAATCATTTACATCCAACTCTCCTACAACAATTTTGTATGTGCTTAGTGATTGGGTCTCATCCCGAGATCTGAGATACTCTACAAATTCAGATTGACTTTCAAAATGGCATTCCAAAGTTTCCAACTTCCTCAAGCTATTTCCTTTCCTTTTAACTGTTACTGGAGCATATCTTCTACATATGTTATCCTCTTCTAGTACTAAGACTTGCAGGTTTGGGAGTTTAGGTAATATCCCACTAGGAAACTCCTTTTCATCACATCCATTCAGTCTAGATACCTCAAGTTGGATAGCCATTCCATGCCTTGACGCATTTTTTCAAGTGCAGTATGAAAAATAAATTGAATAGTTTGAAAAATAATGATTTTATTTATAGTATTGGACAAGTTAGTTTCATTCATTGTAGACCAAAAAATTTACGTTTGGAATAATTTTGGATAGGACAAAGATTAAAATGATAATCTTTATCCAATCCGAACTACATGTGTATTATATATACATCACACTTTGTACAATTTGTTCCATTTTTTCAATCCTTCGGATATAACAGATAAATCAAACTAATTTTTTATTATTCAATTAAATATGTAAGACGAGAACAGCTATTCAAAAATATTTTTATATATATAAGAATTTACTTAAACAGTAAAATTTATTACAAATCAATTCAATCCTCTAGAATTGTTCAATTTTGTAGTCTTGTACAGCACAACACTGATTGATAGGCAGAGAGCTATAGAGTTGACTGACAACATATTAGATGTCAAAGTTAGAATTTATTGATAAACTAGTCAATGAAACTAATTTATGTGTCTGTCTTTGATAGAAAACGGATCCCTTTCTGATTGCCACATACATTGCTGAACAATACTGCCTTTTGATGGCTTCCATGTTCTGTGATTCCAGGTACTCTTCTTCTTCTACTTCCTCTAGATGTAGATGGGTGTGTCATGTCTTTTTGAGTTTTAGAGGAGAAGATACCCGAAAGAATTTTACAGATCATCTTTATAGTGCCCTAGTCCGAACAGGAATCTATACCTTTCGGGATGATAATGAACTTCCTAAAGGAGAAGAAATCTCCAAACAACTCCTTAAGGCAATTGAGGAATCAAGGATTTCTATAGTTGTCTTCTCCAAAGGCTACGCTTCCTCCACATGTTGTCTTGATGAACTGGCAAAGATTATGGAGTGCAAAGATGCCATTGGCCAGATTGTTATCCTCATATTCTACAATATAGATCCGTCTGATGTTCGAAAACAGAAAAAGGAGTTTTGCAGAAGCTTTTAAGGCACATGAAGAACGGTTTAAGGAAGAAATGGAGAGGATCAATACATGGAGAGACGCCCTTAAGGATGCTGCTAATCTATCTGGGTTTCATCTCAATGATATGCCAAATGGGTGTGTCTTGATATTGTCCACTAAAGATTATATATAAATAGATGCTTTAAAGTGATAAGAGAGTTTTATTGATCTATAGGCATGAAGCAGAATTCATAAAAAAGATTATCGAAGCTGTGTGGGATAAATTGGATATCCAAAGATTAAATAATCCCGACCACCTTGTAGGTATTGATTCTCTTGTCTTTAATATTAGTTCCTTCCTAAGTATTGTTACAGATGATATTCGCATTGTCCGAATACATGGGATGCCGGGAATAGGCAAGACAACCATAGCTAAAGCTGTGTTTAATAAACTCTGCCATAGATTTGAGGGAAGCTGTTTTCTTTTCAATGTCAATGAAAAATCAAAAAGACCAGATGATCAGGTTCAACTACAAAAGCAACTTCTTTGGGATATTTTGAGATCAAACATTTTGAAAATGAGGAAGATCGGTAATGTCGATGAAGGAATCCAATTAATTAAAGAACTACTTCGGCACAAAAGAGTTCTTGTTGTTCTTGATGATGTGGATCAGCTGCACCAATCAGATGCATTGTTTACAGAACGAAATTGGTTCGGTCGTGAAAGTAGAATAATTGTCACAACTAGAAATGAACGTTTGCTTGCTCAGATTAAAGCTGATGAAAAATATGAGATTAAAGAATTGAATCAAGATGAGTCACTTCAGCTTTTTAGTTGGAAAGCCTTTAGGGACACCTATCCAAGAGAAGATTTTGTGGAGCTTTCGAAAGATGTAGTTGAGTACTCTGGACAACTTCCTTTAGCTCTTGAAGTTTTGGGTTCCCATTTCTTCGAAATGAGTAAATCTGAATGGCCAGATGAAATTGACAAATTACGAAAGATGCAACATGAACAAATTCATAAGAAGATTAAAAGAAGCTTTGACACATTGAATGCAGATTTACAGGGCATTTTCCTTGATATTGCATGCTTTTTCATTGGTAGAGACAGAGAATATGTGGCAACAATACTTGACGCCCGTTACCGTAATCTTAAACCAGAAATGGTTTTCAAAACTCTCATACAAAAGTCTCTCATAACAATCAATATCAAGAATGAGTTAAGGATGCATGATCTGTTACGAGACATGGGAAGGGAGATTATTCGTCAAATGTCACCCAAATATCCTGGAAAACGCAGCAGAATCTGGTTGCATGAGGATGCTTGGGATGTACTCAACAACCAGACGGTAAGAAAGAAATGCTTTCACATAGTAATTTCTTGTTTGCAAAATCAATATTGTCTTGTTGATATTTCTTGTCAAACTTTTAGACGATTTTAAGAAATAATTTTGCATAAACCTACTTCCAAAACATTACTTGATGATAGTTTAATTAAATTTTGTTGTTTTGTAGGGAACAAATGTTGTGGACGGTCTTGCCCTAGACGTGCAGGCATCAAAAATTGCACCTGTGAGCACAGAATCATTTAGAAAGATGAGATATTTACAATTACTCCAAATCAATGGCGCACATCTTACTGGATCCTTTGAACTTCTCTCCAAAGAACTGATATGGCTTTGCTGGCATGAATGCCCTTTCAAATCTTTACCGTCCAATCTTCAATTGCACAATCTAGTTCTTCTTGATATGCAGCACAGCAAGTTGAAGGAACTGTGGAAGGAGGCCAAGGTACAAAATATGCAATAATACTCCCAATTTTCCTTTCATGAAATTTACATTATTTAATCCTTATTTTAACTGAACATGATCACCTTTCTCTCACTTTATTCCTGCTTCTCCAGTTTCTCAACAAGCTAAAAATCTTCAACCTTAGCTACTCAAAGCAACTTGCTAAAACACCAAGCTTCCATAGTTCAAGTCTGAAGAAACTAATACTTAAAGGTTGCTCTAGTTTAGTTAAGGTGCATCAATCAGTTGGACATTTGGAGAGCCTTCTTTTCTTGAATTTGGAGGGATGTTGCAAACTAAAGAGTCTTCCAGAAAGCCTATGCGACTTAAAATTTCTTGAAACTTTAAACATTACTATGTGCTCACAGCTGGAGAAATTGCCAGATCGCTTGGGTGATATGGAATCCTTGACTGAGTTGCTAGCAGACGAGACTGCAATTAATCAAGTTCCCTCTTCGATTGGGAATTTAAAGAACCTAAAAGAGTTATCATTGCTTGGATGCAATTACAAACAGGATTTACCATCTACTTCTTGGCTTTCCCTTTTGTCATCATTGCTTTCACCAAGCAGTTCGACCTCCAAACTTTTGCTGCCAGCTTCTTTTGCTAATCTACGGTCATTGGGAGAACTAAATCTTAGTTACTGTGGTTTGTCTGAAGGTGTAATTTCCATAGATTTTGGCAGATTATCCTCTCTCCGAAGATTGAATTTGTCAGGAAATAAATTCTTCAATTTACCTTCTGGCATTGGCAGCCTTCCTAAGCTTGAGTCATTACAAGTTAGCGAATGCACAAATCTGCTATCGGTCTCAGAACTTCCCCCGTCTTTACATGGATTTGATGCCAGTTATTGCACATCAATGGAAAGACTGTCAATTCAGTCAGAAACAAGTCTAGCATTGTTACTGGAAGGTTGCCAAAATTTAATAGAGATTCAGGGCATCAAAGGCAAGAAGAAGAATAATCGGTCCATTTTCACACCAGGCTACAGTTCAGCAAATAATTCTGAGAACAGGCATTCTCAGGCTCTCTCTCTCTCTCTCTCTCTCTCTCTCTCTCTCTCTCTCTCTCTCGCAGACATACAAACAATTAGCACGTAATATGTTAGTCTAAAACTATAGCTTTTCTTGTAACAGGCATTGTGCAAGGGTGAGCAGTATGGCGTTATCCTATCTGGTGGTGAGGTACCAGATTGGTTCGCCCATTATAGAGAAGAATCTAAGGTATCATTTCAGATACCCCCACTTTCAGATGGAGTTCTCCAAGGGCTTGTTGTTTGGGTTGTCTGCACAGGAAAAGGAGCAAGATCGAGTTTTCGAGGTGGTCATGCTTTAATAAAAAATAAGATCAATGGTATTGAATTGTTTCAAAGGACAGTGAAGCTTAATTCTAACACAGATTCCCCTACCCATTCTTGGGTAAAGAACATAACGGTGACAGGTCTTCCATGTGCAATGGAAGGTGGGGAGGAAATGGAACTGTCTGTTGACATGATCTTCTACGATAAATGCTGCGAAGTTAAAGTAGAAAAGTGCAGTGTCCATCCGCTAATGAGAAAGGCAGATTATTTTGAGAAGTGGGATAGCATCGAAAGCCAAGCAGCCGATATTGTGATACCATATCATCATCCTCATCCCCTCGCGTCGTCATCTACAAATGAGCACTGGAGCAGTCGTTTACTAAGGGAGTTGCCAGAATCCGAAATCTGCTTGGCAAACCGAGATCAGCCCTTGCTTTTTAAATACTTGGGGAGCAAGTTATGGTTTTTCTCAATTGTGTATATTAAAAATTAGTGTATGATTTGAAGGCATTGTTTCTAAAATGATGAGATGAATGTGTGGTTAAGAAAATAAAGTTGCTTCAGAATAGAGGTTTAATTTTCTCCATTTTTCTCGATTTGTTCCTCAGCAATCTTCCTTTTCAGCACAAATGGCAACAGAGCATTTTCTCTGTTTTAGCACAGATAAAATATGATTCAAAGAATCGCTTCAGGTTTTCATCAAATTATTTTGAATGTGTGATTAAGAAAATAAAGTAGCTCTTCAAGTAGGTTAATTTCTAGAGCTCAAACTGAAATCCTCTGCCTCCTGGGATTCACCACTTGTTCTAAGAAACAGCGGACTACCCTATGTTGAGTTAGTGCAAGTTTGGGACTATAAAAAAGAAAATTCGAAAAAGAATACTTTTTTTCGAAAATTTACCCCGTCCTTTTTAGCTTTTATTTTCGAAATTTTTTTTATAATTGCTTTAAGTAATAATAAATGAATTAATTAACGGGATCAATAGACAAAAAAACAATTATCCTTTAATCATGCGATTAATTTAATTTTGTTAGCTAAATCACTAATACAGAAACTCAATTGACATTTAAATTGATACAAGAATCCGATTAAATAACTATCTATAGCAACGGTGCGGATTGTTAACTCCATTAATTGACAATACTCACAAATAGAACCCAACAAGAAAACTGAAATAATCTGGTTTTCAGATCTAAAAGATATTACAATTTGTATTACACCATGCTAATAAGAACCAATGGAGAAAAGGATGCTTATATTTCTTGGATATTAATTTAGCCTTCTACATTACTCATCCACCAAGTTCATTGTTTGTCTATAAAGAAAGAAACCTTGCTTGCAAAAAATCAAACTAGTTTTTTACAATCAATCAACATATCTTTTAATTAATTTATTTATTTAGTTATATACTTTATGCTCTATTGTTCTGCTTTTTAATTTATTTGTCATTTCTTTTGTTTCGATTTTTTTTTTCTCCTTAGTTTAGTAGACGAGTTGAATCCTGGCCTTACATTTGAGTTAGTTTAATTAATGGTAATTTCCCCTCTAAAGTATTGAATTTATTTCGAGACTTGATACTTGTAATTGATATCAATTTGGCTAATTATATATCATTTTTTTATATAAATATTGCTTTTCGGTCTCGTTTGATTCCATATTTAAGTTTCGGTCCTTAATTTTAAGTTAAGTGTCTATATATGTGTGTGTATGTATATGAGTGTGTTTTATAATAAAAATTCAATCTATTTTTCAAAATTAATTTTGATTTTCTGATACTGGGAAGTACTTTTTTTTTTTTTACAACATCAAATATTCATAAAATTGAAAAAAATAAAAAAAATAAGTAGTAAACTTGTAATCTTCCTAGATTTTGTCGTGGCCCTTGGGGTTACTACCCAGATATATACACCCCTTAACATTAAACGATTTGAAATGTTACAATCAAAAGTTCTT